AACTGTTCTCTTAGTTCTGTTAACTTCATTTTTTAACAGTTCATATAAGTCTTCCCAGGTTTTCTGAAAATGTCCTTCTCATCATTTGTTATAGCAGAGTAGCATTCCATCATGATTACATGCCATAACCTCTTGAGGAATGATCCTTAATGGATGGACATCCCCTCAGTTTCCAATTCTTTGCCACCACAAAAAGAGCTGCTATAAATATTTTTGTGCATGTGGTCCTTTTCCATTTTTTAATGATCTCTTTGGGATATAGACTTAGTAGTGGCTTGATCAAAGGGCATGCACAGTTTTATAGCACTTTCAGTGTAGTTCCAAATTGTTCTCCAGAGTGGTTGGATTAGTTCACAACTCTGCTAACAGTGCATTTGTGTCCCAGTTTTTCCACATTCCCTCCAGCATTTGTCATTTTCCTTTTATAGCATGTTAGCCAATCTGATAGGTGTGAGGTGATATCTCAGTGTTGCTTTATTTTGTGTTTCTCTAAACTGTAGCGATTTAAAGCATTTTCCCAAGTGATTATTGATTTGATTTCTTCTTCTGAAACCTGATTGTAAACCTCTTGACCATTTATTAACTGGAGAACTGCTCTTTTTTTTAAAAAAAAATTGGCTCAATTCCTTATGTATTTGAGATATGAGGCCTTATCAGAGAGATTTGCTTTAATTTCCCCACCTCCCCCTAGTTTCCTGCTTTCCTTATAATCTTGGCTGCATTTGTTTCAGTTGTGCAAAAAAAAATTTTTTTTTCAATCAAAATTATATATCGTATTTCCTCTGGTCTTGATTCTCTCTTGTTTAATTATAAATCCTTATCCACAGAGCTGACAGATAAAATTTTCCATGTGTCTACAATTTACTTATGATATCACTTTTTACATCTAAGTCATGTACCCATTTAGATCTTATCTTGATATAAAATGTGAGATGTTGTGTCTATCTAGTTTCTACCATACTATGTTCCAGTTTTCCTATCACTTTTTTTTTTAATAATGAGCTCTAGTCTCAAAAGCTTGGATCATTGTTTTTATCAAACACTAAAATTGCTATGGTCATCTGCTACAGTATATTGTATAGCTAATCTATTCCATTGGTCAATACCTTTATTATTCAGACAGTACCATATTGTTTTCATGATTATTGTTGTTTAGTCATTTTAATCATGTTCAACTCTTCATGACCCTATTGAGTTTTTATTGGCAAAGATACTTGAGTGATTCATCATTTTCTTCTCCAGCTCATTTTACAGATGAGGCAAAGAGGGTTAATTGACTTGACACAGCCTGTAAATGTCTGAGACCATATTTAAAATTAGTTCTTCCTGCCTTCAGGCCCAGAATTCTATCCACTATATCACCTAACTGCCCATTTCTATGATTATAATTGTGCTAATCATAAAAATGTAGTTTGACATCTGGAACTGTTGGCTGCCTTCTTTCTTTTTTAATTGATTCCCTTAATATTCTTGATGTTTTGTTTTTCCAGATGAATTTTGTTATTTTTTTTTTTTAGTTCTATAAAATAAATTTTTGATAGCTTGATTAGTATGGTTCCGGATACGTAAATTAATATAGGTAGAATTATAATTTTTATTATATTGGCTCAGCCTACCCATTAATATTTCTGTAATTGTTCAGATTTGTCTATATTTGTGTCAAAAGTATAATTGTGTTTATATACTTCCTGGGTTTATTGTGGCGGGTATTCCCAAGTATTTTATATTGTCTGCAGTTATTTTAAATGGAATTCCTCTTTCTATCTCTTTCTGTTGGACTTTGTTGGTAATATATAAAAATTCTGATGAGTTATGTGGGTTTATTTTATATTCTCTAACTTTGTTAAAGTTTGTGATGTTTTTCAATTAGCTCTCTAGGATTTTCTAAGTGTACCATCATTGTTGTTGTTTGTCCTTGGTTCTTAAAGAGGGAGGGCTGTGCCACTCTCACTTTCTCCTCCAGACCAACTGAGTCCGATGACAAGATATAAATCAGTTCAACTGGAGATGGCCCCCTGTGACACAAGAGGAATTGATAGAAAAAAGAGTATGGGCATGTTATTGTAACTTTATTTCTATAATTCCTAATTCCTTTCCAAAATTATTTATATTGATTCACAACTCCTACAACAGTACTCTAAAGTGACTATTTTCTTACAACTCCTCCAGCATTGACTATTGCTATCTTTTGTCACCTTTTCCAATTTGCATGCTGTGAGGAGAAGCCTCAGGATTGCTTTGCTTTGCATTTCTCTTAATACTTTGGAGCTTTATTTTATATTAGAAATATTTTTCAATTTTTCTTTTGAGGGCTTTTTGTTTATATCCTTTGTCCATTTCTTTATTGAGAAATCATTTTTGGTTATATATGTGTGTGTATATCATATATATGTATACGTACATATATATACACATATGTACATATAAATACATATTATATATAGTATACACACAAATATTTGTATATATACACAAATATATACTTTATAATTGTTATATTTAAATTTTCAATTGGTTGCATTTAATATAGCATGTAATATTATATATATATAAGATTATATATATACATGTTACAATAATACACATTAAATTATAATATGATGAATATTTTAAAATAATATATTAATTATGTATAAATGGTATATTACATTATATGATATATTATATGACAGAATGTTTTAATGTATATTATATAATGTATGTGTTATATTAAATTATAAATTATGATATATACAATAATATTAATATGTTTTCATCAATTACAAAGCTATATTGAGTAATTACAAATTGTATATTTGTCTATATGCATAGAAAAATATATTATATACACATGTAAATATAAATATGTGCATGTGTAAATATATAAACACATATATATGCATGCATACATATATATGTGTGTGTGTGTATATATACATATGTATATATACACACATACACACACATACATATACATATACACATACATTTATTTTACCAAACCCAGAGAAATTTGATGTAAAGACTTGTTTCTCTATTCAAGTGCTTCTCCTCTTAACCTAAGTACATTAAATTTTGAGTGTAGAATCTTCTTAGTTTCATATATTACAAATTATCTTTTACTTTTTGTAACTGTTTTTATTCCATATTTAGTTAAAAATACCTTTCCTAAAACTAAAAGACTAAAAGCACTTTAGATAGGATTTTTTTCACAAACCATACTGAAAGAGTTAAAATTAGAAGGAAACAAGTTAAAATTACCAAAAATTATTTTGTTGAGCTATAAAAATAATAACAAAATTCATTTAGAAGAACAAAATGTCAATACTATCGGAGGAATTAATGAAAAAAATACAAAGGAAGCAGTACAATATCTTAAACTATATAATAGGGCACCAATTATCAAAACTATCTGGTACTGACTAAGAAATAGAAATGTGGATCGGTGGAACAGAGTACACATACAATACAAAGTACATTTGAGAAATGTAAAGATTTGAGCTTTTTGGATAAGAATACATTATTTGGTAAAAAAAAAATATTGTTGGGAGAACTGGAAAGCAGTCTGGTAAGAAACTAAGTAAAAGCCAATATCTTAGACCATTTTTACCAACATAAAGTCAAAATGGTTGCATGACCTATAGGTCCCTAAAGGGAGATATCATAAGTAAAGATATCATAAGCTATCATAAGTAAAGATATCATAAATAAATAACATGGAACATATCAATCAGACTTATGGATAGGAAAATAATTTATGAATAAGTAAGAAATAGATAGCATTGTAACATATAAAATTGATAGTTTTAATGCATTAAATTAAAAATATTTTGTACAAATAAACTAATGTAGCCAAAAGTAGAAAGCAGAAAAAAATTAAAGAAAAATTTATAGTCTCTCAGATAAAGGTCTCATATCTCAAATATATACAAAACTTATCAATTTTTAAGAATACAAGTCATTCCCTAGTTGATAAATGGTCAAAGGCTATCAACAGGCAATTTTTCAATGCAGGAATCAAAGCTATATATAGTCATATAAAAATGTTGTAAATAATAATTGATCAGAGAAATGCAAATTAAAACATCTTGGAGATATCTTCTTACATCTATCAGACTGGCTAAAATGATAGAAGTGGAAAATGACAAAAGTTGGAGGGGATGTAGAAAATTGGGACATTAATACACTTTTGGAACTGTGAATGGATCCAACCATTTTGGAGAGCAATCTGGAATTATGGCCAAGGAGTTAAAAAACTGTGTATACCTTTGACCTGCAATACCACTATTAGGTATGTTTCCCAAAATGATCAGGGAAAAAAAGGAAAAGAACCTATGAGTTCTAAAACATTTATAGCAGCTCACTTTGTAATGGCAAAGAACTGAAAATTGAAGGAATGCCCATAGATTGGGGAATGGCTAAATAAGTTGTGGTTTATGATTTTGATGGAATGCTACTGTATTGTAAGAAATGATGAGCAGGTTGATTTTGTAAAAGTATTGAAAGCTTGCATGAAATAATGAAGATTAAAACAAGCAAGACCAAAGGAATGTTGTATAGATTAACAACAATATTGTTTGAAGAATAACTGAATGACTAAGCTATTTTGATAATTGTAAATATTGAAATCAATTATAAAAGACCTATGAAGGAAGTTGCTATCCACCTCCAGAAAAAGAAATCATAAATAGAAATATGCATAGTATGGTTCTACATATATCTATGTCTATAGCCATCTCTCTCTCTCTCTCTCTCTCTCTCTCTCTCTCTCTCTCTCTCGCTCTCGCTCTCGCTCTCGCTCTCGCTCTCTCTGTATATATCTGTGTCAAATGATTGCCTTTTCCACTGTGGTGTGGGGAAGGAGAGAGAAAATTCAGTCTTAAAATGTAATAAGAAATTAAATTAAATTTAAAAATACATCTCTTACCCATAGCTATGAGAGATATATAATCTACTTTTCTTAATTTTTTGTAGTTGGTTTCTTTTCATATAAAATTAATTGCATTTTCTTCTTTTTTCAGTCTTTTGACATCGTTTCAATGTCTTGTTGTCTTATGGATCCATTAACTTTTGTTTGGTCCATTCTAATTTTCAAGGAGTCTGTTATTTGGGTAAAGTATTAGGCCTCTTGTCCTATGCTATTAATTCTCCTTCCAAGTCTTTCCTTCCTTATTTACTCTTACTTCTTTTATAGTTATTTCTTCTAGCATTCTCATTTCATTTATAAAAATATGTATATTTTTTCATCTCTTTGGAAAAAAATAACTCTTGTTTCATTTCCTCCCTAAATATGTTAGTTTAAATTGTGGCCAATTCATTTTTTTCAGTCATTTCTTGTAGATATAATTCCATAATTATTCTCTTCTTTTCAGTTGTGAAAATTCTCAGAAAATTTGCTAAATTTTCTTGAACTGCTGAGAAAACTAGAAAACATAGAAATTATGTTTAGGTCAATTGCATATTAAATTTAACCAAATTAAACTTAAAATAGATGTGGACTAATAGACTTTGATTTAAAAAGTGGTATCATAAGGAAATTGGAGAAGTGGGGGAAAATCACTTTTCAAATTTATGGATAAGAGAGGAGTTCATGACTAAAAGAGCTATAGACAGGATTACAGAATAGAAAATGATTTGATTTTATAAAATTAATGGGCTTTTGCACAAACTATACAAAAGCAGTTAAAATAAGAAGAGAAATAGATTATTGGGGGAAAGAATCTTTGCAACAATTTTTGTGTGTAAAGGTCCCATATCCAGTGAAAAGAGAAAGAAAAATCAAAATAAGACAATTATGGCAGTAAAGGGAGTTATCAACGAAGTCATGGGCCATAGAAGCATCTCAGAGAAGAAAACAAGTTGTACTCACTTACTTAGAAACTAAGGGCAGTCCCAGAAAATGATGTCTACTCTTTATTTAACTTCTCCTTCTACTACCTTTCTATCTACAGATACTATAATAAAATCTACTGCTTCATTATCCAAATGTTTTCAGCAACTTGAATTTTGCCTCAATGAGAAAGGGTCCAGGGATTGGAGATAAGTAAAAATTGAAGTTAAGGCTAACTGGGACAGCTAGGTGGCACAGTGGATAGAGTACTGGCCCTGGAGTTAGGAGAATCTGAGTTCAAATCTGCCCTGAGACACTTTAAACTTACTAGACGTGAAACTCTTGTCAAGTCACTTAACCCCAAATACCTCACAAAAAAATTAGGTTAACCCCTAGATATTCCAGATTATTCAGAGTGATTGTGGTTTTAATCACAACTTTTCACCTGAAATAAAGTCTCTAAATCTGTAGAAGAGGGAACTGAAGAGCTTTAAATGCCAAAGAACTTATATTTTATCTTGAAAGTAATAAGGAGTTACTAGAGTATACTGAGTAGGGAAATAACATGGTTAGACTTTTTCTGCAATAAAATCACTTTAGTAGCTCTGTGGAACATGTTTTGAGATGGAGAGAGATTTGAAACAGGGAAACTAATTAGAAGACTACTACAGTAGTTAAAAAAAAGAGAGAGAAAAAGATGATACTCTGAACTATGGTGGTGTTTATTGTGTGGTGAAAATAGAATATATTCAAGAGATGTTGTAGAAATAGGAATACTAATATTTGGCAACTAATTGGATGTGTGTGGATTATGAATGAGAGTGAAGAGTTGAGGATGATGCTGAAGTTTCAAAGCTCAATGATTGGCAGAATGATGACATTCTCAACAGCCAAACACATTTAGGAAAAGAGCTTTGAAAAAAACAAGAGTTCTGTTTTAAGTGTGGTGAGGTTGAAATGCCTATGGACTATCCAGTTTAAAATGTCTAATAGAGAGTTAGTAAAATGTGCCTGAAACTCAGAAGAGTTACTGAAGTTGGATATACAGATTTGGGAATCATCTGCATAGAGATGATAATTGACCCCATGGGAATTGATGAGATCACCAACTGAGAAACTATAGAAAGAGAAGAGGGCCCAGAATACCAATTTATAGGATATCTACATATGATTACAATATGGATCCAGATCCAGCAAAGTGGACTGAGAGGTAATTGTAAGGAGTGTCAGGTACAAGGAGAAACAGGAGAGGACAGTGTCCAAAACAAAAAAACAAAACAAAACAAAACAAAAAACTCAGAGAGCAAAGGATATCTAGGAAGAAAATCTGATCAACATAGTCAAATGATTGATCGGTGTCAAGAAGGATAACGATTGAGAAAAAGGCATTAGATTTAGTAATGAAGACATTTTTGCTCACTATCAAATAGCTTGTTTCATTTGAATGATGAGGTCAGAAGCCAGAAAGTAGTGGATCTAGAAACAGTGAGGACAGAGTGAATAAGAGGGGTTTTTGAGCAATTTAGCAAAGAAGAAGAGAGAATATAGGAAGACAGCTATGGGGAATGAGAGGATCCAGAACTTGTTGTTTTTAAGGATGCATACTTGTAGGTAACAGGGAAGGATAAAAAAGGAGAGATTTAAACTTAGAAAGTTAGGCTGATATTAGGGACAAGCTTTTGGAGAAGAAAAGGAAACAAAATTAAAAAAATACATGTGTAGGGATTGATTTTGTCAAGAACAAGGGATGCCTTTTTTATTAGCAATTGGAATAACAAAGAGAGTGTGGCATGTGAGGTGAGAGGGAGTGAATACAGAACCTTTATAGGTGGTTTCAATTTTTTTTTTTAGTGAAATATGAGGCAAGTTCCTCAAGTTAAAGAATTTTAGAATAGCCATAGGAAGTTTGAAGACAATACAGAAGGTTTGGGACAGCTGTCATAGTGAGCTGGATAGACAATCAGAAACTGAGGATTATTTACTCCTAAGTGAGAGCTCAGTTGAGATTAGATAAAATTCTGTAGTGGACAGAATCAGTATAGTTTCATGACCTACTCCAGCTCCACTGAGCAGCCCATGCATAGGGGCAAAATCTAATGGTGGAAGTAATCCAATGCTAGAATTTGGTAAGGCATGATCAATGTTAAGAAAGGGGATAAGATTCAAATGTAAAGTGTAAGGGATAACTGAAATGGTTTACCAAGAGGTGGTGATTGCAAAGAGAGAGAATGTAGCCAGTGCAGGAGTCATGACCTGGGAAAGGATTAAGTGGTAGAGAGTTTGAAAGTAATAGTGAGAATGGAAAAATGGTTGCTAGGGTGTCTATAAAAGAAGTTTTAAATTAGCATGCAGCAGTGAGAGCCTTGTTAAAACTGAACAATGTACATTTGTAGTGGGATCAATCAGCACACTTGTGTGACTTCTTACTGAAATCATCATCATCAAACAGCATCAAAATGTTATCATGAATAGAGAATGTAGATGGGGAGAATAATCAGGAGTTGGAGTCAAGAAAGCATATGTAGTAATAGAGAATAAGGTTTTTGACAGTTGAAGACAGTGTAAAATTGAACTGGTTAACTCAAATGTAATTTGGAAGGAAGAAAAGTGAGTTCAGAATGGTGGTGGTAGCTTAGGAAAGCAAAGAGAAGTTTTCAGTGAGATGGAGAATGGGTTTAGGAGGGGTAAGAGCTAGAAGGAAAAGAGCTTACAGCGAGAAATGAATTTAAGGTTTATGGACTGTGGAGGTAGAATACTTGTGGATAGGACATCAAGGGTATAATGATACCTCTGTGTGGCTGACATGGTGGGAAGATACAGGCTACAGGAACTGAAGAAGTTGATAAACTGAAGTGACAACAGTCTGTATAATGAAATCCTTACTTGTATAGGCAGGGATTGAGGTTAAAAAAAGTATGAGCCAGGAACTAAATTCCTTGAGAAAAGAAAAAGAATGTCTTAACCAGTGAAGAATAGTCTGATATATCTGGAAGTTTTGAACATCAACGAAAGAGAGGTTAGTGATTGGAGGTGGTAGAAAGAGGGCCTATAAATGACAAGAAAAGATAGGAAAGGGAAAGGAAAGAAAGGGAATGAGCATTTATTTATATAGTGCCTACTATGTACTAGGCACTATGCTAAGCACTTTTACAAATATCATTTTATTTTATCCTCACAACAAGCTTAAGAGGTAGGTGCTATTACTGCTTTTTACAGTTGAGGGAATGTAGGGAAATAGAAATTAAGAGACTTGCCCATGGTCACATAGCTTGTAAATGTCACAGGCCAGATGTGAACTCAGGCCACTGCAGCACCAGATGCCTACTTCTCCTACTGGTCCAGCACGTCATGGGGCATGAGGGAAGATATATTTAGTACTGGACAAAATGACCAAGAATATATTGCATTCAAGAAAGAGCCAGGTTTCTATGATTGGAAGGAGAGGTAAAGGTCTAATATGAATGACATTTTGTTAAGAATAAAAGGAGGATTCTATAGAGCACAGTGAAAGAATTCAGAATTAAATAACTAGAAAGGAGAAGGATGGCTATGATTGAGTGGATTATAGTGGACAAACAGGTGGGCTGTGGTTGATGTTCTCCTAAATTCAGACTCAAAAAGATTTGTAATGCAGCCTTATGGTAATAGATCAGCACACCTTTCCCTGTAGTAATTATATTAGATTGTTTTTACTTGCGCAAAAGAAAGAAGGAGGGATGAACAGGGAAGTTAGCAAGATGTGTACATACTTCTAGCCCCCAGTGTTCTGGTGGGTTGACTGGTGGGATAATGGCTTTTGAGATGATAGATGGATAGATAGATAGATAGAGTATTTAGCAAACACTTAGTGGGCTGGACACTGTACTAAGTTCTGGGAATACAAGTAAAAGCAATAAGACAGTTCTTACCCTCAAGGAGCTTGCATTCTAACGATACACACATAATGAGGGACAGGAAATTGTTGAGATTAAAAAGGAAGAAATTTTGCCTGCTAGAGGCAGGCAGAGAGTCAAAGTTTGCAGTAGGTTGGGCTCAAAGGAGAATAGGGCTATGGTGAGGAGACAGAGGGAAGATTTCTTTTATTTATGTCATCTCCTTGAGGGCAGGAGTTTGCTTTTGCTTTTCGTGGCATTTCTAGGACTTAGCACAGTGCTTGGTGCACAGTTATTAGCTTAATAAGTAGTATACTCACTGACTGGATAGATGTACATAAACTGAATCATTTCAAATTATCTGACAAAAGCTAAGCAGGATAACGAAAGAACCCAGTAGGAAGTACTGATACATGTGATGTTGACAATTTTTCTATGTTGACTTTGTAATGTGGAGAAAGATTATAGAATAAAACCTCTTACCATGCAAAGAACAGCATAGTATTCTTAATAATGGAGATTATAAAACATATTTTTGAAAAGATCACAACATCCATATAGATTTTTCTATAAAATATATTAAAAAAGACACAAAAAGGGCCAAATGGAAAACATATTGTTCTAAGAAGCAAGTTAATAAATAAATGCAATAGTCTCCATTATTAAGAATGCTATAGTGTTCTTTGCTGGCAATTTGCATGAATTCTTCCCCAAATATACATTTTTTCCTTTAGAAAACCAGTATTTAAAAAAAATGAAGTTTTTGTTCTATCCAGTAGTTTTGTCCTTGAAATTTAGTGTAGCACATATGATACTGTAAAATATAATCTATTCTAAAAAATAAGAAAATTTACTTAAAATAAAACACTGAAATATAACATAGCTATTATTTAGTATTTGTATTTTACTAATCTGAATTAATGCAATATATTGACTTGTTATTTCTAATTAATTACATTTTTTTAATAATAATCTTCTCTACATTTCCAGGGTGAAACCAAAATCTTAAAGCTAAAGAATCTTCGACCTCAAGATTATGCTAATTACAGCTGTATTGCTTCAGTGAGGAGTGTGTGTAATATTCCTGATAAGATGGTATCATTTAAACTCTCCAACAAGACAGGTATGGAACTATTTCTGTATATTATGTATTTTTTATCAACTTAACTTATTGAACATTTAAATTTTTCATCATTAATGTTTTTATTTACTTTTTGCTAGATACTGTGACAAGAAATTGGGGGGAGGGAGGGAAGAAGTAGAGGGGGGAATGAGAGAGAGAGAGGGGGAGAGAAACACACACACACACACAGAGGGAGAGAGAGAGAAAGAGAGAGAGAGACAGAGAGAGAGAGAGACAGAGAGAGAGAGACGTAGGGTGCTTGTTGTGACCTCTCATCTCATTGTTCAGTACAACATCATGTTGTGAAAGTGAAAGTGAAAGGCTGACCAGTATCATCTGTGTAACTCAGAGACAGTCTGATGAGTTTTACAGAGTTTTTCTGGCTTAAACAGAAATGAATTAAGAGATAACACTATCTGAAGGACATTTTAAGGATGAGTATGAATTAAAAGAGTTTGTAAATTCTATATTCAAGTAAAATATTTGTCCAGTTGGAGAGTGGAGCATACTAAATTCAGTCAATCAACAAGCCTGTATTAAGAGTACTAGATATTGTGCTAACAACTAGACAGTAAAGAATCAGTTTTATGTAGTGCTGATGTTTTAAACTGGAGCAAAGACATCAAAGCCTTCAGTCTAGAGTTTTAAGATACCCTGTGAACATGAGTATTCCTCATGTAAAATGATCTAGACAAAGAAATGGAAAACCACTCCAGTATCTTTGCCAAGAAAACCCTAAGTGGGGTCACAAAGAATTGGACACAAATGAAAAATGACTGAACATGTTCAATATCTGCTATCAAAAATAACTGACCTAGAAAACTGGATGATGAGACATTAAGAACAAATTGACTGCATGAAAAATATGACCAAACAAAAAATGCAGATACTTTGATTAGATAAAGAAAACAAACCAGAACTGTTAGAGGGCAATGTGAAAATAAATACAAACCTTTAATCATTTCCTGATCAAAACCCGAAATTCAAAATTTCCAGAAATATTTTAGCCAAATTCCGGAGTTTTCATCGTGAAGAAAGAGTATTACAACTATCTGGGAAGAAAAATATCAAGTAGCGAGGAAGTGTAGTCAAGATCACTCAAGACTTAGTAGCAACTACCATAAGTATGGAAATCCTGCTAAGTCTTAAGTTCAAATCCAGCTTCAGAGGCTTACAAGCTGTGTAAAAATATTGTGTACATAATTCTCCTGGTTCTCTTTGTTTCATTCATTAGTTTACAATTGCCCTCAAAATCATTCATTTTTATAGTGTTCGTGTTATAGCATAAACTGTTTTTCTGGTTCTGCTTACTCCACTCTTCACTGAACTACAGATAAGTCTTTCTATATCTTCTAAAAATAATTTATTTCTTAATTGCTTTTTAGCACATTAGTACCCCATTACATTGATATATCACAACTTATTTGGCAATTCTTCAAGAAATGAACATTCCTCTATTTTCATTTTTTTTTGCCACCCAAAGCAGCTGTTATAAATATTTTTCTTATGCATTTTCTACATACTATTCCTCTTTCTTTGATCTCTTTTGCATGTAGACTCAACAGTGGTGTAGCTGGTTTGAAGCATATTGTATGACAACTCTATGTGTATAATTCTAAACTGTTCTCCAGAATATTGTAACCATTCAAATGTCTACCAGTGAGTTAATTTGTCTGTTTTCCCACAGCTCCTCCAACATTTATCATTTTCTTTTTTTATCATTGATGGGTGTGAGGTGGAATCTCAGAATTCCTTTAACTTACAGATCTCTAATTAGTGATTTGTGGCATTTTTACATGGTTATAAATAGCCAGTGGTTTCCCTCTCCCCTCGCCCCACTTCAGAACAACCTATTCATAATCATAAACTATCATTTGGAGAGTGGCTGTTATTCTTATTTGAATCAATTCCTTATATATCTTGGAAATGAGAATTTTATCCAAGAAACTTGCAGTAATGATTTCCCCCAGTTGTGTCCTTTTTCATCTTAGCTTTGTTTAATATGTTTGTGCAAAAACTTTTTAAAAATTTATGTAATAAAAAATTTCCATTCTATCTCATATGACCTTTACTCTTTGTTTGGTCATGAACTTTTCTCCTATCTACAGATTTGATATGTAATTTTATACCTGTTTCTCTGATTTGTTTATTTCGTGACCTTTTATATCTAGGTGGTTTCCATTTGGAACTGCTCTTGATTTGAAATGGGAGGTGCTGGTCAAAATCTAAGTTTTTACAAACTGCTGTCCAATTTTCCTAGAAGGTTTTTTCCCCCTCAAATAATGAGTCTTTGTTCCAGTTAGCTGGGGTCTTCAGGATTTTCAAATGCTGAATATATACCAAATACTGGGTATCTAATCTGTCCTACTAATTATATTTGATACCAAATTTTTATAATTACTGCTTTGTCATTTACTTAGACTACCTTCATTCTCATTTCCCACTTTTTCATAATTTCTCTTGAGATTCTTTATGTTTTTCTCTACTCCATATGAATTATTATTTTGTCCAATTCTAGAGAAAAATTTGATTGATATGGCTTTGAATAAGTAAATTATTTTAGGTAGCATTGACATAGACATAGACATGGCTTAATCTATGGAATTACTCAATATTACTTAGTAGTCACTATAGATACTATACTATATATATACTATATATGCATACTATAGTACTAAGTATTACTTAGTAGATCTCTTTCTATAAACAGTTGTTTATAATTATATTTATTTGATCATTGTGTATATTTTAGAAGATAGAATCAATAAATCAATCAGTCAAAAAACATTGAAGTGTCTGTCATGTGCCAGGCATTATGCTAAGCACTAGGAATATGAAGAAAGGTAAATGAGAGCCTCTACTGTGAAAGAGCTCACAGTCTTGTGGGGAGACTTTCAAATATTTTATGTAAGCTGCAGCGATTTTAAATGAAATTTCTAATTTTTCCTGATAGATTTTATATAGAAATGCTGATTTTGTATGCTATAATTTTGCTGAAGTTATTAATTATTGCTATTAGTTTTTAATTGACTCTTTAGGGTTCTTTAAGTATACTATATAGTGATGTCATTTTGGTCCTCTTTCAGAATGAAGGACAACAACCAACCAACCAAGTAGACCATAATATTATTTGACCAAAGTGATAAGTTCTTTTTCTTTTAACCAAGAAGGTTATTCTCTCAATTTCTTTTCCTTGTTTTGTTGCTACAACCAGTATTTCTAGTACTATGTTGAATAGAAGTAGTGATGATGAATTTATTTGAAAGAACTCTAGTTTATTTCTGATGCAAATAATGGTACCTCTTGGTTTTAGATATGTACTATTAATTATTAGAGAGGAAAGGCCTATTTATTCCTGTGTAACCTACTGTTTTCATCAGACATGTGTTGTATTTTGTCAAAAGCTTTTGTTGTATCTGTTGATATAAAGATATTATTTTTGTTGGTTTTCTTAAAATGGTGAATTGAGAATAGGGATTTTACTAATATTAATCTTGTATTCCAGGTATAAATACTACCTGGTCATGGAATATAAGGATTATATTGCTAATATTTTATTTGAAATTGTTGCATCTATGTTCATCAGGGATATTAATCCACAATTTTTCTTTTTGTGTTTTGATTTTTCCTGTATCATAAAAGACACTTGGCAGAATCTCTCATTTTGTCATTTTTGAAAAAATTGTGTAATACTGACATTAAGTGTTCTTTGAATGTTTGATAGAATTCATTTTTGAATCCATGTGGTCTTTGAGATTTTGCCTTTGGCAACTCAATTATGATTTATTCAGTTTTTTCCTCTGAAATTAGATTGTTTAAATTCTCTCTTGTTATATTAATTTGAGTATTTTATATTTTTCTTACTATGTATTTATTTCACTTAAGATGTCAAATTTGCTGGTGCCTAATAGAATGAAATAATTTATAATGTCTCTATTTTTTCTTCATTTGTTAGGAATTCTTTTCATTTTCACACTAGCAATTTAATTTCCCTCTTTCTTATTTTTAATTAATTAGCTAATAGTATATATATAATATATATATATATATATATCAGCTCTTACATATGTTATTAATTTATTTTGTTTCAATTTTGTTAACTTCTTTAAATTTTAGAATTTTTATCTTGGTGTTTAATTGTTTTTTAATTTGTTGTATTTCTAGTGTTTTAGTTGTGTTCCCAAATAATTGATTCATTTTTTATAATAATAAAAGTGTTTAAAGATATAAAATTTCTCCTTATGCTTTGGTTTTAGCCTAAAAATTTTGGAATGTTGTCTCATTGTCATTATCTTTAATACAATTATCTATCATATTAATGAGTCTATGATTTTTGACTTAGCAACTCTTTAGTTTTAAGGTATTTAGTCTTCCATTGATTTTTAATACTTTTCTGCCATGAGGTTCTTTATTTAATATGGTTTTACTGTGCTATGACATATATGATAGTTCTGCTTTGCAGCATTTATTTGTGAGTTGTTGTTGGTTTTGTATTCTAATACATGATCAGAGAATGTAAAGATGCCTATTCATAGCTGGCAAATATGTGTATTTTCCCATTCAATAATCAGTACAAGTCTATCACATCTTTTTTCTTCCAAAGTTTTATTCAGATTTTTAATGTTTTTGATTTTCTTTTTGGTCACATGTATCAAGGGCTGATGGGGCAAAATGAAGTCCTTTATTATCATTATAGTTTCATTGTTATAATCATTTATTTTTTCTTTTAGATATTTAGAAGTAATAGCATTGGGTGTGTATAGGTTAGATACTGGAATTATTTCTTGCCTATATTTACATTCAGTAAAATGTAGTTTTCTTCTTTATCTCTTTTAAGTCAATTTTTCTATTGCCTTGTCTGAAATTGCAGTTTCTTCAGCCACTTTTGTGTGTTTAGCTGAAGCATATTAAATTTAGGTCTTATCCCATATATTTAAAAAATATTTTAATATTATTTTTCCTCAATTACAAGTAATTTTAAAAAAAGTCTCATCATGGAG